AATCAAAACAGAATGGGAGCATCTTCTCAATCCCCTTCCCTCTGCATTGCAGAGCCATCAGTATGCCTCTCTGCGAAGAAGCTATTTGTTTACTTTGTTTCACACATCATTAACAACACTAATCTGGATAGAATCCCATTTGCTTCTGCTATCTCAGTGGAGTAGTTGATAACACAAAGCTGAAAAGCAGGATTGCTTATTGAGTAGGCCGAGCACGTTGAGCAAAAGAGCCTTCAGAGTTCACATACTCTCTCCCCATGAATTATACTGAGAATATGAGGAAAAGGCACCATTGAAATTTGCAAGCAATCAAGTGTTCTTGTGAGTTTAATGAAGTCTTTTAAAAAACCTGTTTGTTGACAGAGCAGATTATCGCTTCAGCAAAAATGCCAGGTATTTTGCTCTCCTAAAATTAAGCTGTTTATTAGGTTGCAAGATTATTGGGAAAGATCCCATTTTGCTGATTCAGATACAAGAAGACAGTCCTCTTTGTTAATCTGGTAGCTGCTTGATAATCCAGAATAGTGGGTTGATGCTTCATCAATAGGAGCTAAAGATAAGAGAAAGTCTCTAGCTGGCCAGGAATTGATCTCCACTTTTGAAATGATGCTAGTAAGAGTTTGGAAAAAGTGACACTGTCCCAGCCGAGGGAAGGATCAGAAAACAGCAAGAACAGTTAAACTGTTGGAACTGAGAAGAAAATGGAACAGTGGCAGAAAGAAAGAGCTGGGAATTTCTAATAGGAGTTAGCTGGAACTGGGGGGACAGCCTTGTCAGCTTGCAAGCCATCCTTCTACCATCTGTAGTCACTTCCCACAAGAACATCACTTCTCTCCTAGTCACTGTTCAGGGAATACAAAAGTTCCAAAGGTAGCGTCATGCTCAAGCATCTGCCACAGGAAGCATAAATCACTGCAGCAGCAGTCAAAAATGGTGATTTTTTTGCCCGATGGGAATAAATGTGATAGGAAGTATTCTGTTGAGTCAGATTGCAATCCATATAACTGCGCAGCAATAGTTATACATTGTGTGTATATGTGTGTAACAGAGAGAAATAAAAATAGAGCTGGAAATAGACAATAGCTTTTAGAAAGGGGTCCTTCAATGTGGTGCCCATAGGTGCCACGGTGCCTGCTGACACCTTTCCTGGTGCCTGCCAAGTGTTTTTAGAAAGTGGGTGGGACCAGGTGAGGCTTTTGCCCAGGAAGGCTTCTGAATGGCCACTGGAGATTGGATTTCCTGTGCAGCATTTTAAAAAACATTGCTTTGGCAGCAGATGCCACCACAGCACAAGGATCTTCACTGTGGCAGCCATGTTGTGGCTGGCTCCACCTCTTGCAGCCATGCCCACCATGCTGTGTCAGAATCCCAAAGGTGCCCATAGTCTTAAAAAGGTTTGGGGCCCTTGTTTTAGAAGATCTGAGGAGATTTAAAAGAAGACTCACTTCCTGTCATGCAGCCACCACATGGCTGGGCCAGGCTTGGACTAGCTGTGATGGTGTCCACTGTACAACTCAGTCAGGTCCATCTCAGTACCGGTGGTGGCTACTGCACAACAAGACCAGACACAGCAACCCCCACAAGCAGTCACCATGTAACTGGGCGAAACTTTATCTAAGGAGAGAGTGCCGGGGGAGGGAATGGGGGATAGCTGCAGAGGGGGGCAGATAAAGGTAGACTGGCTGGTGGATGGGAAGAGAAGGAAGCAGGCTGTGGGGGCTGCCAGGAAAGGGAAAGGGGAAATAGTAGCAGAAGGGGATACAGGAGAAAATGAGAATCCCACCCCCACCAAGTCTTTACAGGTCCCATGCTCATAAAGTACTATACTGACTTATGTTGGGATTTTGATTATTTGCTTCTCTTCAGGACAAGGGAAGACCTCTGTCCAAAGTGGAATGCTGGTGGTTATTCTCAGTGATGGATGTTAGCACATCTACATGCAAATTTCAAAACCATTTTAGAATTGTATATATTTTTTTATTTTATCACATCATTCTTTTATTTGTCATAACCTGTGTCATAATAGTAATATAAAAATGTTTCTTCATGGTTTATTTCTTCCTCTCTCGTTTTATTTTGCTCTGTCTTTTGTGATTCCTCTTTAATTTTTTCTGCATTATGCCTACATAGTATGCTAATTTATGCAAGAACTGTTTTCTGTTTCAAGCTATTCAGGAAATGTCTTTGACTTCATAAAATGGAACTGTTTTTCACACCAGCATAACTTCCTTGTAATGCAGTGTAGAGGGCAAGCTAACACTTCCCTTTCTCTTCACTGTGTAATTAAAAATGCATCAGCTTCATCTGTCTCTCTTCATATTAATTCCAATAAGTAAATAAATGTGGTGCAGGATGTCTTTGTCATGTTTCATTGTTTTGAAGCCCAAATGCAGTATTTTTCAAACTATACATTAATTATTGGTTTAACACAAGAAACTAAACATTAACAGAATCAATTCCTTTTAAAAAATATTTTATTTATAAATTTTCCATAATAATTATTTTTTTAATATTCCTGCTAGAACAAGTTAAAATAGTTCATTTAAATAATGTAATTACTGATTCTAAGACCTTTTCTGAAATTGGTGGCAATTAATTTTTACTTAGCATTTAGTGTGCATCATACCTGCAACATTTATTGACTAATTCTTACAATGTATTCAACCAAAAAGCTGCTCAAAGTCATTCAAGACAGTAAGAGACACTTATACTGCTCAAAGCCATGTGGATCTGTTGTTGCCACTTGTTGGTGCCTTCAGAACTGTCTCAGATTAAGAACATTTAAGACTTTGCATCTCCTTGTTACACATTTGCAATAGAAAGAAGTTGTCCAGAAGAAATGTTGCACTAACTTGACTGTCTCAACACAGTCAAACTCGTATGCCCCACCATTGTTCCATTCGACATCTCACCGTGGATGTGTAATAGAACTTGGGTTGCCAGCTCCAGATGGGGCCTGCAGGTCTCCTGAAATTAAAACTGATCTCCAGTAGAAAAGAAAATGGCTGCTATGTCATTATACCCCATTAAGGTCCCTCCCCAACCCCCTAGGCTCCACCCCCAAATCTCCAGGTATTTCTAATCTGGAGTTGGCAGAACTACCACTCTTTGCCATGCAGTTCCCTATCAGACTTAGTTCTGCATTCATCAATTTACATTCCTGTTCTAATTCAAGGCCACTTTGGAAGCAGTTCTCCGAAGTCTGTTCTAACCTCCATCTCTAATGCCACTTGTTTCTTTCTCTTTTCACCCAGCCCCAAGACAATCTTGCTTTGTCTGTTCAGTGCACATTGTAAACAAACTGGAGCAGGGGTCAATTTACATCCATATTCTGTAAAGTTTATTATGCAGTGATGAATGTCTGAATTGATTCCATTAGAAAGCATTATGTTTGAGTTGATTGTGACAGTTCTATTTGTGGTGTTTGATTCTATAAATACAGGGCACCATTTAATGATGCAACCATTGAGTGATCAACATACGTTTGTGAATCAGTCTGTGTGCTTTATTCTTTACTAGCTGATGGTAGAGGTGTTATTTTTTTAAAAAAATGTGGCCTTATGAAATGGTGCACGGGGGGGGGTTGTGTTGTCATAGGGGGTCATTGTGGTTATATGTAGGTAAAATGCCACATTTGTGTTTTAGAGGAATGTACAAAACTTCCCAAAAACAGAACATAGCTCCTGGAAAGTGACAAAGAAGCAAAGCAAACCCAGCCATATAATTCAAAAAACAAAACTACCACTTGTTGCTGGAAGGAAAAATCAATTTAGATGTTTTCTTTATCATATCCTAAACCAAATTAGAAATCCGAGTGTGGATGAGAAAAATTGGGGCAGTTCATCAATTTATGAATCCTCTGTTATAATTCTAAAAGGTAAAGATAAAGGTAAAGGTTCCCCTGCTCGAAAGCCAGACGAATCCGACTCTAGGGTTGCGGTGCTCATCTCCGTTTCAAAGCCGAAGAGCCAGGGCTGTCTGAAGACGTTTCCGTGGTCATGTGGCCGGCATGACTAAACACCAAGGTGCACGGAACGCTGTTACCTTCCCACCAAAGTGGTACCTATTTATCTACTTGCAATTTCTTGCTTTCAAACTGCTAGGTTGGCAGGAGCTGGAACTAGAGATGGGAGCTCACTCCATCATGCGGCACCCGGGTCTCGAACTGCTGAACTACTGACCTTCCACAGCCTGCAGTTCAGCGTCTTAACCACTTGAGCCACCGCAGCTCCCATTATAATTCTACATCCAGATTAATATGTAGAAGAGTCTAGTTTGAACAATGCAGAAGGTTGTAACATAGAACCACCCTGAGTTGGCCTTCTCCCTGAAAGGGAGAACAACAACAGTAAAAGAAATTGAGGGGCTTCTCTTCTTCAGAGGAAGAAGAGGCTCTGTTGTTTTCTTTGGGTGACTTTGTGGCAGTTATATTTGCATATTACTTTTTATTTAACTAAGGCCCCTTACTGAGGAAAAACTTCTGTTGAACTCCGTGGCTGTGCTGCAAGAGTATAATACTGTTGCTTTATCGTCTTAACATCTCAGATTCTGTCATATCAATTCCCCCCCCCAAAAAAAAATAAAATTTGTTTTGTACATTAAAAAGGCACAAAGATTGAATATTTTAGAATTTATGAATGAATATGACCAGAACCACTTAACTCCTTTTCTCCACTGAAAATGTTATACTAGTTTTCCCTTGGTAGATCTCTATTTCATAAACTGTAACATAATCCAGGAAGCCTAACAAGCATTAATTCCATGAAAAACAAGATGTGAGAGCTTCCAGTTCATTTGCTTTTCTTAAACTCAGTGAGCCTTTTCTCTGAGAACTCTGTGCTGATGGGAATCAAATTTGATTAATTGTATCTGTCTATAACTGTTAGGTCCTAGCTACAAACCTGTGGGTGACTGGGGAACATATAACTAGAAGCAAACTTGTTTTACTGGAATTGCTCGCGGTTCAATTAACAAAGATCAAATGTGTTCGTTTTTTAAAGGGTGAACCTGGTTTCATTGGCCCACAGGGAGAACCTGGATTACCAGGGTTGCCTGGGACAAAGGTGTGTATTACATATTTCTTCTGACTGTGTGCAGGTTAGTTCAAAACTCAATCCTTAGCTGACACCAAAAAACATTCATCCACTCAACCATTAAGGTCACCTTGAAGAGATATGCATATAGCAAACCTTCAACTGAATGAAAGTTATAGAAACATAATTTTAAAATGTCAGGATACTTAAAAACAGGGGTCTTGTTGTAGAAAAAGAGCTGCCGGAGCTCATTAGCATAACTCATTAGCATAACTTATTTGCATATGCCACACCCCCTGACATCACCGGAAGTGACAGAAGGCCACACCCCCTGACATCACCGGAAGTGTGTCAGAAGGCCCGGCTACTTACCCTCCTGCTTCATCCTCATTCCCAAACGGAATGAGGATCGAAGCAGAGGGCGGGGTAAAGAAGGGGGCGGGGCTTCACCACGTGACCGCCCCGCCCCCTAGAGGTTCTCTTCCGGAGCTCCATACCTGAGAGCTCCCCCCCGACTAGAGCCCTGCTTAAAAACAATGGAAATCTAGACTAATTATGTTTCAGCTTCTCAAGTTTCACATGTGAAATTAGTATACATTATCACTGTGCCGAATTGCAGAACACTTCTCTTCAGTTTTGTTCCCAGCGTATGCCTCTTTTGCTCAGCCTGTGTCCGACCATGGAAGGCAAGTCATCAGACTATTCACCACTAGCAGAAGCTACTGTATCTGAAGGAGTGTGCATGCAGATTAAAGCTTATACCCAGAATTAAACTTTATTGGTCTTAAAGGTGCCACTGGACTCAAACTTTGTTCAGAGGCTACTAATGTTTCTATGGCCTACTTATTACCTTTCTAACTTGTAGTCTATTCAGTGAATGATGTTAACTCTCTTAATAAGTGGTATTTATGATATGGAGAAGTCTAACATACCTGAAGAAGTAAGGGGGTAGATACGGGCCAATAAACTAAAGTTCGGGCTAGTTGAGGCTGGTTGCTGCTGATCAATGTCTTGAGGATTGCGGTAGTTGCACTCCCCTTGAAGGAGCAGGTTGGGACTGCTTCTAGATCCTGGCCTATGGTTGGCTAGATCTTGTCCATGCTGTGAGACTCTTTTGCCAGCATGAACTTGGTCCTACAGGTCACAGAAGTTCAAAAGTGTTCCTTTAACAGAAATTAATGGATATTCTATATCTCTTAGCTGGGAAACCGCAGAGAGAGCTTTCTATCACCTTGGAAGGTGATATTTCTCTCTCGCTGGATTTTCAGAACCTAAAAGACCCTCCATTCAGTCATTTATTTATTTACTAAACATCCATAGCAACCAGCATTGGAACCTTTCCTAACTACAGGAAGAAACTATGCCTGTGCGAAGTTGTAATATGTAGTACAAATTGTCCCGTTCCCAACACTCCAGGATTTTCCCCTCAAGTTTTAACATTTATTTAGTTAATTTTTTTTCCAGGGCATGTACTTAATAATTATATCCCTGGATTTTCTGTTCTCCCCCCCCCTTTTATTGGGAGAGGATAGAGGCATATAAATTTCTAGATTGGTTTACTGTTCATAAATTCTGTTTAGAAAATTAGGGCATAATCTCCCTTCAGTACTGAATTCAGTATTTTCTGCCTCTATTACTTATACTTTTAACTGCTGCAATTCAATTTCAGAGTGAGAGATAGTAAAATCATTTAGCTGGTTAGTTTAGCAAGTTGCCTACCTTGAAAGTAGGATGAACAGTTCAAAGACCAGACTCTAAAAAATGATAAAAACTCTGAAGCAGACATTTTGAAACCACGATTACAACATTGTAAAAATGAGTAGCTTGATCTTTCTCCTGTTTATGTTACGCTATGTGTTTTTATTGAATCCTCAGTGCTTCACAGTGAAACAATATTGACAATTGAAATGGAAGTAGCAAAGCATCACTTCTATATTTGCTGGGGGGAGGGGAAATGCCATTGTGTTATGCTTATCAATTGACAATCTGAAATATGCTGTGATGCTTGATTCTCTTTAACGTGTATAAAATAGTATGGTTCCGTATGAAAAGCTGCCAGTGTTTTTAATACTTCTGTCTGTCTGTGTGTGCTGTGGTTTGTGATAGGGTGACAAGGGAGAAGCAGGGCCTCCTGGGAAAGGTGAACGAGGTGAACCGGGAGTTCCAGGGCCAAAGGTTAGTCAGGTTTAACTTTGAAAATATGTAGCATGCTTTTAATAAAAGTATCTGGCATATGAAGCTTTCCGTTTTCGTTAGGGAAAGCCTCTGCTAGTGAGGTTAACAAAAACTGGTAGAAATAAATGTCGGTTTGATTTATGATGCATTCCAGGAGTGATTAAATTTATAGCAGTCATGTCAGGAACTCTTTATGTAAACTCAAGAATCCAAACCTACAATTATGCACAAAGTTTCTTATTCATAAGTGTCAGATTGAAATCAATAGGACTCATATACAGGTTGTCTAGGCAGGATTGCATTCCCAAGTGCTGGTCACTACAGCTTTTCAAGTTTAGTGAAAATTAATTTTCACCCTGATTTCAAATCTTATAAGAATATTGATTTTCCAATGCAGTAGTCTTTGCATATTTATTTTATACAGGAGAATGTCATTTATCTGAATGATCTGACATAATCACATAATCACTGATTGCAGGTCTGTGTGGGAAGCACACAGAGAATTCAAATAACCAACATTTGAACAATGGGAATTTTGTGATATTAAGTTCCTGGGTTCATCTGGATGTATGGACCACAGCAAATAAGTGATAAGCATACAGCTGAATTCATGGTGACTACTTAAATAGCCTGTGCGTACTGGCTTCCCTGCCCATGGTGAGTCACTCTAGTGCAGATATCCGTCACATACTGGCAGTTGCCATATCAGGTGGCAAACCATGGGCATAGGAGTTGCCTGTCACAGGACCCAGTTGTCTATCACAGGAAGATTCTTCAAGAAATTTTCAAAGAGCCTCTGTAGATCTTCTACAACCTGAACTTTTCTTTCAATCTGTTGTAGTGAACATGCTATCGTAACCTGCACATGTTAATACTAAATCATTTAGTATTTCTGTGACTTCATTCATATCAGTTATATAGATTTATACTATTGTATGTTCTGGATGTGCTTGAGACCATTGGTCATATGAGATGACATAAATGAACGAACGATTTATACTAGTGGTCATTTTAAGATAAAAGTGGGAGCTGATACTAATTCCTTTTATTCATCTCTTTTCTGTCTTCATTTCTCCTATCCATTATGTATGCATTTTCATGATGCAGGGGAGGTCAGGTGAATCTGGAGCTAGAGGCCCAAAGGGGTCGAAGGTCAGTAGTAAGCAAATTTTGGTTTTATTGGTTTAATATCATATGGTGATATATGAACAGTAACATTAAACAGAACCGTATTTTAGGCAAAAGGCTTTTTTTACATGGAGCAAATAATTTACCACAGAATTGTGCAACGTCGAACTTCAAGTTCCTGTACTTTGTTTCAGGCTTGCCTTATTTGTCTGTGTTTTTGTGATGCTCTTAAATCTTCTTCCTGTTTGTTATTACATGAAAATTGGACACCTGTATTCAACATTTGGGCTGGCAGACTTCAATGCACAAAATCCCCCTCATATTCTTTGACATCGGTGCTTTTTCTTTCTTTCTTTTGCATGTATGTAGTACCTCCATATTCAGCTCTTTCTCTTCTATCCATCCTGTCTTTCATGTCTCCTTCTCTGCCCTGACTTCCTTGGCAATCTGTTTCATTCCTGTTTCATCACTTTTTTGCCTGTTTCTTCAGCTCTTGCTGTTCTTGCTTTCTACCTTCTTTTTCATCTTCCTACCAATTTCTTGCACTGTCCCACTTGTCTTTTCTTCTATCAGCCACCAGTCTGTTTTGCTACCTGCTTGTCTGTCTTTGGGGAAAACTACTCAGGATGTGTTATTTGTCCCTGCAAAGCAGTGTGCGCATGTGTGTGCTTATATATATAATCAGAGCTTTTCTCCCTCAGTCATAATACTAGAATGGGGGGGTCATCTATTGAAGTTGAATGGTGGGAGATTCAGGACAGACACAAGGAAGTACTTCACACAGTGCATAGCTGAACTGCAGAACTTACTGCTGCAAGATGTGATGATGGCTGTCAACTTGGAAGTAACCAATATTGCTTTTTTGCATAGGGTGATCCAGGAGACAAAGGTGATTTGGGTTCTGTAGGTCCAAAGGTAAGTGACTACTGTTTTAGTTTGGAGTTCCTTTTTTGTGTTTCAGTATCACAGGTAATGTCAGAACCTATACAATTTGTTGATGTGTAAGTACACCTTGTTTTCCTTGTCCTCTGCCTTGGTGTTATTGTGGTCTAGGTGGTGTGGTTTAGGACCAAACCAAACAGTTTGTTGAGAGTTTCATGATCCCAGCAATTTTTTTAGTAGCCAGGACATGGGGCTTTGATTTGGATTGGGACTGTGGTGAAGGAGGATGGAGAGTTTCAAAGCTTCACCCTTACATTTTACTGAGCCACAGGAGCCACAGTTTGCCCACTGGTCAAAAATATAGTTTCTTTTGGTTTGGCCTATACTTTGAATAACTTTGGCTTTTCCTAATGAATGGGGAAGCTAATAAATATCCTATAAGAAACAGATACAATTGAAGTGTCTCACTGTTGGTTTGAGACCTAACAGTTTAGTTAAAAATAGACCAGTCCTCTGAACAAGAGCCAAATAAGCTTGCTAATAGTAAAGAATACCATTCTGGGCCATACTTTATCATATAAAGGCATACTAATTCTTATAATTATATTTATGGGTTATTTGTATATTGAATGTATACGCAACTATTTAAAACTGGCATTCTCAAAGTTATTTACATTTTTTAAAAAACAAGATGAAGCAAAAAAACTGAAGAGACAGAGGATCTTCTGCCAATGTTGCTTTAATCCTTGCAATGGAGTGGGGGGAGTCGAGATCACAGGAGGTCATAGCCCCTCTGTATACTGCCTTGGTCAGGCCATACCTGGAATACTCTGTGCAGTTCTGGAGGCCTCACTTCAAAAAGGATGTGGACAAAATCGAGAGGGTGCAGAAGAGAGTGATGAGAATGAGCCCTACGAGGAAAGGCTAAGGGCCTTAGGAATGTTTAGTTTGGAGAAGAGGAGATTGAGGGGGGACATAATTGCTCTCTTTTAAATATTTGAAAGGCTGTCATTTGGAGGAGGGCAAGGAGCTGTTTCAGTTGGTAGCAGAGGATAGGACCCGAAGCAACGGGTTTAAATTACATGCAGAAGGGTATCGGCTGGATATTAGGAAAAACTTTTTCATGGTCAAAGTGGTTCAATGGTGGAATCAGCTGCCTAGGGAGGTGGTTAGCTCCCCTTCACTGACAGTTTTCAAGAAGAGGCTGGACGAATATTTGTCACAGATGCTTTAGGCTGGTCCTGCATTGGGCAGGGGGTTGGACTAGATGGTCTGTATGGCCCCTTCCAACTCTACGATTCTATGATTCTGTGACTCCTTATCATTGAGCAGGGATACCAAAAGGGTCAGCTCTTAGAAGCTGTAACAGTTGGAAGGTGAGGTAAGAATAGACGTCTGACATCTGAGATGCTTCCGCTGGCATTATCTTTATCAATGGACAATCTCAGATTCCCAGTGTTCTGTGGGGTCTCAAGAAATGTCCAGTTTCTTTATTATGGTAAAAAAAACCCAGATTTGTGCATCTGAGCAAATCGCTTTAATTTAAAAAATATGATAGATTATTTTTCTTTAGTTGTAAGCAGTTCAGGGAGCCAATCTGGTAGAAAAGTGAAGTATAAATACATTAAATAAATAAATAGCCTTGTAAACTATGTAGGTGTGTATTATTTTCTCCATATTGTATGGATTGGGTATCAGTGGTATCCCTATGGCCTCCTAGTAAGTTCATAGCAATGGTAAACCAGAAGTTTTTTTAAAATTCCTTCAGTTTCATAGCCACAGCAGAACTGCATTGTTGATCTTTAGAGTTCTTAAAACTGTGCCTGTCTTGATTTTGTAAGCTGATCATTAGGCTACCGAGCTAGCTGATCCTATTAGATATAGCTTTGACACTGCCAGACTGAAAAAAAAAATCTGTTGCTACTGAAAGCATTGAATAAAACTCATTTTATCTGTACTAAATCATCATCAGTACTGTCAATGCCAACTGACTCTTAAGAATGGCCATCAGCAGGGCCTTTTTTTCTGGGAGAATGTGCCGGAACAGAGTTCCAGAACCTCTTTGACAAAATTCTTTTTAAAATGTTTAAAAAATTGCGAGTTTTCAGTGTACAGATTGAAAACTTCATTTCCCTCTTGAGGGTTCTAGCACCTCTTTTTCACACACACACAAAAAGAGCCCTGGCCATCAGAATTTGTTACCCATTAGTAAATCTTCGGAAGTAGATCTTGTACCAGTCACACATATGAAGTGGTGAGCCTGATTCTAGTATTTTGAGGGAATGGTGAAATAAAGAGCATTTAAGCAGCATTGGGGGGAGGGGAGTCTTTTCCAGATTTGCAGTTATAGCTCAGTTATAACATGTGCCATTTCTGTAATGGAGCAAAAACAAAATCTGTACTAGGCAATAACTTATTTTTCTCAGATTAGGTCACAAAAGTCATTCATTTGTACACTGCACTCTTGATTCATATAACATTGCGGGGCTTTGGGAATGGGGTGAATGTGTTACAGGGCCCACCTGGACAGAAGGGTGATCAAGGTGCCACAGAAATCATCGACTACAATGGCAATATCCATGAAGCCTTACAGGTACGTGATCCAAGACTCACATAAATGCACAAAAAGGATTTATTTCCTCTGTTGGAATATTACAATAAATCATCCTGTCTCAGGGAAAACAGATGTAAGAACAATACATGCAAGCATAGGGTTGTGTCCTACGGATGTTTCACTGACACAAGTGGATCCTTCCTGCCTTCCCTTTTTCCTGGCAGCGCTCTTTGATCTGTTAAAATGCATGGCCCAAAGGTCAGGGCATAGTAGTGAAGAGGCGAACATAGCAAGTATAGAGCCCATAAGGTCTCAGGTCCAATCCCAGTTAAAAAATGTTAGCCAGGCTGTAAAAAAGCTTGGACAGTAGATAATGTTGATCTGCATGGATTCTGACTCAGCAGAAGGTGGCTTCACGTATTTAAAAATATCCTTGAGCAATAATCTGGAATCTTTGTTTGCTAGGTGTTGGGCTTTCCCCTTTGTGGCACCATTCTGTTAAGCAAGTTAGCCACACATATCCAGGGATTCACTTACATTACCTGATGAGAACAGATGAGTTCTATAGCTATTTGTGGTGAATTCATTCAAAAAGACCACTTACCCTGTTTACTGGATCAATTCAGGCAGCTCAGGCAAATAGAAAAAGAAGAAGAAGGGATTGGATTTATACCCCGCCCTTCACTACCCAAAGGTGTCTCAGAGCGGCTTACAAACTCCTTTCCCTTCCCCTCCCCACAACAGACACCCTGTGAGGTGGGTGGGGCTGAGAGAACTCTGACACAAACTGCTCTTTTTCAAGGACAGCTGTGCCAGAGCTTGTGGCTGACCCAAGGTCACATCAGCAGGTGCAAGTGGAGGAGTGGGGAATCAATCTCGGTTCTCCCAGATTAGAGTCCGCGCAGTTAACCACTACACCAAACTTGTGATGAGCAGATACTTCGTTGTGCTCATGTGCACCCTGCCTTCTCCCTGTTTCTCTGCTCCACTCATGTGGCATGCAGAGATTAAAGTCAGAAGTCTACTACTAACTCCAGTGAGTTATGATGTCCAAATGCAGGTGCCTCCAGTAATTGAGGGTTTTTTGTGAGTAACTGGGAGCTCTTCCTCATGGGTTATTTGCCCCAGTACAGACATAGTTGATAAGAAGGAGGATTTCCTGCTTCCCCTCAGGATCATGGTACATTTGTGCACTTCCTGGGTCTTCCCTGGGTTTTCTCCTATCTTTGATGGAACATTTTGGGAAAGATCACAGCAGAGCTAGGATGGCTGCTGTGTGGGCAGAAAAGTCTGCGGTTTCCTGGTGTTGCCCATGTGGCAGCTATTTTTCCTTCCCTGAGCCCTGCAATGGCCATTCCCCTCCCCCAACCTGTGCACCACTGAGGGGATGGTTAAAGGATTTTAAAGATTGGTAATTGGTATATTGACCTACCAGTAAAAAAAATCCTTTCAAAAGATTCCCCGATGGTGTGGGAGAAAATGTGGGAAAAGCAACCATCTAGTAGCCCTGTTCCACTCCACTGCATTGTCAGTTGCAGGAATAACAGGGTTTCCACAGGAAAATGTTACCCTGTGGCAAAGAGCTGGGGATTCTTAACTAGTATTTAACCGGGAAGGAAACAAGCCTCACTTAGTGGACGCATCTGCATGTGGATGTCACAGCTAACTGGGGTTCATGAAAGACTACCATCTTCAATCTTGTCATGCTATGTGAAGGGAGGAGGGAGGATAAGCACAGCTGGCCATTTACCAGGTCGGTCCCTGTCATGAACAATTTTAGGTTTGTTCTTGACATACGAATTAAGCTTCTGTTGTTGTTGTTTAAATTCAAATAATTATTCCTGAGAAGTAAAATGGTTTTTCTTGGCATCCACTTCCACCCACCCTTCTCCAGCTTCTCCTCTCCCTCCAAAATATAAGCAGTTTTCTTTCTCAACTTGAAGTAAAAATTAATGTCATGGAAATATTAGTTTTGTATAGCAAAGCAGTTCACAATCCAAATTAGTAAATAAACAAATTATACTTATATCAGCTCTCATAACATCTTGTTCGTGTTTGTTCTTGTGCTATTGTGTGAATGCAGTAGTGTGCATAAGTAAAGGTAAAGGCTCCATCACCTGACAGCTGAGTTCCCAGAGGTGAACACAGTGCACGTCTGGTAGAAAGTCCTCGTATCAGACCTGGACTTGACACGAGGACTGTGTAATGTGTAGTTAGATCCTAAGAAGCAGGACTTGGAGATTTCGACTCAATTTATGAAGAAATCTTCTCCTTCCTTTCCCGAAGTATTACAAGTTCTGAAGTTTGTGAATTCACACTGAAGTAAGGGATGTTTGGCTGCTGTTTAGCTTTTTTCAGGACTTGGAACACTGTTTTGAGTAGGAGTTGGCATTGTTCCTCGCAAGAAGCCTGTTCCCCTAGACATTTACTTGAAGACGTTGGAAATAAACCACAAAGCAAGGTGGAATTTTGCAAGATGTTTTTTTTGCAGTTCCTTTGGGGGCATTCCTTCTATTTAGTTACACAAGTCATTGGAGAATAAGTCATTTTCATTCAGCAGCACAGAAATCTGTGCCAGATACAAAAGAGTACAAAGCTTAATAAGGATTCCTCACCAGTGAGTGGCTAGTCCAGATACAAAATACATTTAGGAACACAAGAGCACAGGCCATCTTCTCAATCCAGTGGTTACAATGAATGATGTACAACTTCCCAATCAGTTCCCATCCAAAATATCTTAAGAAACCCCATACCTTGTTGTATACAATCTAGAAGTGATGCAAAGTCTTTTTATTTCGGAAAAAAATTAATGATCAAGGATAAACTAGGATGTATTTTACTTTCATGTTTCAGTGTACTGATTGATAATTACTGTGTCCTTCATTCTGTCTAATAAAGGATTAGTCCAAAATTCTCAAGGTTATAAATGTAAATAAACATGCATAGTACAGTTATTTTTCATAAACAGAACTGCGTTGTGGTACACTTCATTCCTTCTCATTCCCCTTTAAATGAAACTAATCTAATGTCAAAGAAAGCTTCCAGGTTTACAGTTTTATTCTGATACTCTTCATGATCAACTACCATAAATAAAATAAGTTCTGGATGATGGTTCACTTTATAGTAAAATAGCTACCCATAATCAGCACTGTAAATACTGTTTCCTCTGTTTACTAGTGTAACTACAGTGGATGAATAAAAATATAAAACAATCTAAATTTTGCTTCTCAGGGCCTGTTTAGGTGTTTCTTTTATTGAGCTTGTCTGTGTAGTCATAACCAGAATCACTGTCAGGCTCACCGAGTGACCCCTTCCCCTTTGCCATGTGTGGAGTATTATGTTCAAGTGTTACTGTTATCAATCACAGTTATAAATTCTTGGTGTTTCACTATATCAATTAAGTGGCCAATGAATCACCTTCAGAGTTTGCTTGTCTTGATGCAACTGAAAGCCTATGGTAATTTCAAGAATGCTTTAAAATTCCATTGAAAAAAAGAAACCAGTTTTGTTCTCTAACAGTAAAAAAAAATTATGCATGCAGCCAAACCCACAAGGTATTTTTATTTAAACCTATTAAATACTAGTCTTCCAAGTTCTCTGGTTTAATTAGTTTGTCACAGATGTATTATTTACAGTGCAATGATTCCCCTTTTACAAGCTTAAAACTTTATGAACTGATCTAATATTTTTTATTTAGACTTTTAAAAAATCAGTTAAACTTCATGGGATTTAAAACACAGATGAAGAATGCATAATTTGTATTTAAAGAACAATCTTCTTTTAACTTTATTTCCTTAAGATGTTGAACTGTTTCTCCCAGACTGTCCCCAAATTCTGTGAAATCCATTATCAAACAAGCAAAGTATTTTATTTCAAACTGCACATCTGGTAACATTGTCTTCTGTTAATACGTTTTGCCAACAGAGGATTACCACCCTAACTGTCACGGTAATTCCTATTGCATGACATACAGTGCTTTGTAGCTGTTTTCTTCTGTGGTGTTGCATGTTCATAACCCTTCTGATTTAGAATGTGTCTTTGTTCATCAGTTATTGACCCTGTTTATCACTACATACATTTCTTCACCCAGTGTTGTGAATGGCTGTATTGTTGAAAACTAGGGCTGCAGCTCTGCTTCTATTGAAGTTAATAGTGAGGCTCCCATTGACGTTGGTAGAAGAAAGGAACTGAGTCTCCTGTTAGCATTATAAAATTTTTATAACCGTAGTTCTTTGAGTGCAAAAATTGCAGGATTAGTCTGTAACTTCATTTTCCTGAATGGCTTTTTAAAAATAATGTTGAATATTCCAGTTATATCTTAGAAAATGCAGTCTACACTTGTTCCAGAAAGTCACATAGTAGATTTCGTCAGGCTATAAGTGATCCAGACATAAATGATTTGTGAACTGCAATTAGAGCTGTGATCTCAAATGGAACTTCTTCCTATAAAAGTACCTTTATTTCTGTTCAGAGTCAATAAGGTTCATTAGTTCCAGATGTGGGTTAATATTGGAAAAGGAAATTTCAGTTTAGCAAGTTGAAAATTTCGCACTGCCTGGAGCTCTAACCTGCCATGCTGAACTCAGACTTTTCTGGCCTTTGCTTTTTTTAAACAGAGGCAATCTAGGGTGAAAGGTGGCCATACTCATGCAGAGTTAATAATGAAATAAATACTTCATTTCTTTTTGTTTCTTATAAGGTCATTGTTTTGAAAGTTTCCATGAGGTCTATTTTGCCATCTGGGTAGATGTTTGAATGTCAGTGCATTTTCTTGGTTCATCATTTCCTTGCAGTCAAAATTCAAAACAGTACATAGGCATTAAGAAAGCATGTGAGCTGCATGAAACTGCTGATACGACATAGCTTGACTCCACATGTACAAAGTAGTTCAGTGCTTTTCTGCATTCGGGTTTACGGTGGTTCTGTGCTAGCTCATGAGCAATGTTGAGAAGGGGCTATTCTGAAACATGCTTTTCTTGCCAAAGGTCTCAGGCTTATTACTTGGTATTTCAAGTGGGTTCCAAATTCTGAGGCTAGGGGAAAAAATCTCTGCCTAAAATCTTGGAGAGCAACTGCCAGTCAGTGCTGACGGTACTAGGCTGGGTAAACCAATAGTCTGACTCAGTAGGAAGCAGCTGCAGATGTTAAAATAAGCCGTGACTTTATGTTCAAATCAAAAGCAATTTGATAAAAGAGCAGCCAGGAAAAAAATGTGCTGTGGCAAAACATTTCTAGTATCCTGCCATCAAGGTTGCCATCTGTGGGCTAAGCTGGACCGTCTGGTGCCTTTCCCCCCTCTCTAGAAATGTATGCCTATTTATCCTGATGATCAGAAAACCAGACAACCCTGTTTTCTACCCAGTTTGTGGGAAGTACAGATGTACTTTTTTTTTTTACTGTCTCCTATGCCCTGTCCAAATCTGCAGCACTAGATTTTTTAAACGGTTAGTAGCCACGGAAACATTAACCTACAGGTGGCAGCTAGAGTTGCCAACCTACAGGTGGGGGCTGGAGATCTCCTGGAATCACAACTTGTCTCCAGACTACAGAGATCAGTTCCCTTAGAGAAAATGGCCATTTTGGAGAATGGACTCCATGGCACTTAGGGTTGCCAGCTCCAGGTTGGGAAATACCTTGAGATTTTGGGAGTGGAGCCTGAGGAGGGCGGGGTTTGGGAATGAGAGGAACTTCAGTGGGGCATAATGCCGTAGAGTCTACCTTCCAAAGCAGCCATTTTCTCCAACTGAACTGATCTCTGTCACCTGGAGATCAGTTGTAATAGCGAGAGATCTCCAGCCACCACCTGGAGACTGGAGACCCTAATAGCCCTATACCCTGATGCCCTCCCTCTCCTGCTCAGACTCTGCTCTCTCCAGGGTCCATCCCCAAATCTCCAGGAATTTCCCAACCCAGAACGGGCAACCCTAGTATCAGCACCACCTCACTGGCTCAGGAAAGCCTCCTGCTTTTTAAGCACAGGATTTTCTTATGATTCATTTCCAGTCTGAGTAGATGGTTGGTTGCAAAGGCAGTGGGAATTTTGCAATTCAGTACCATTTCAATCTGAACTTTGGTGGGCTGTGGTGTAGACAAGACTTGTGCTGTGACTGGTCAGCGTGGATAGGGAGCTGCTTGTTGTATGCAGCTGATGCCATCTGCAGGACTAGGCTATTGTAAACTACTTAATGCCAAAGTTGACAGATTAACTATGGGCAGAGAACTTATATGTGTGGCAATTAAAAGGTGCCCACTGTGTTTCCAATGGTCATGTGATTGACTGTTCCTTCAAAGCCAAATGAAATACCTGTTTTTGTTTTCATTACTCTATAAAGTTGTTACTGAGGAGCTAGAATGTCAGTAGATGTGTTGTGTCCGCTGGCCGCCACCAGGGCCAGCGAGTATCCCAGAGCTTGACTCTGGGAGAACAATAGGGACTAGGCTCCTAGTCCCTCCACTGGGGAGCCAATGAGCACCGTGGCGGGAGATTCAAACCCACCAACGGGGCTCAGGGGTGTGTCCCCAAGAGTGTATATAGTTGGCCTGCCGGCCGTTAGCGGCATCCAATAAAGTTTGCTATGCACTATGCCAGTCTTTGTCCTTCATCCATGCGGCAAACCCACTACACGATAAGATGTTTTGTCACTGTCTTTTGATAGTATTTTCTCCTGCTTAAGAGTGTCATTACCTAGTGTAATCTTTGTAACTCTGTACTGTCTGTCCTTAGATAATTGTCTTAAATATTGTTGGTTCTTGATTATTTTAATACAATATCCAGTAGGCTTTGTTATTAACATAGACTGGAGTATATTTGTCTGGCCATCTGTTCAGTCATCTGGATACTAGGCTAAAATTCTTTCTTTTTCCCCCTCTTTAGGGTCCTCCTGGCCCTCCTGGCCCCCAGGGATTGCAAGGGTCAAAGGTGAGCATCTAAATTTTACTCATGTAACTATGAAAATGTACAAAAAATAATAATCCAAGCCTAAATAAATGTATAAATAATCTTAAGGAAGCTTTACAAGAAAGTGAGAAATGGCTGTTGTTGATGTGGTTAAGATCTCCCAAGAGTTTTGTGCTGTTAATACAAGTGAAAAATATTTATTTCAATAGCAATCACTAAATAGCACCACGTAAGGGAAAATATCATGATGCATAAATGATGAGAAATGGAAAAAACTATATTTAGTTCAATTGGAGACATGAGTTTTGATTGAAAGACTCTCAGTTGCATGCCCAAGAACTTCCACAAACCCACCAGACTATGGGATGTGGAATGATATTGTATAGCCCACTCTTGTCAGATCTCAGAAACTGAGCAGGGTCGGTACTTGTATGGGAGCCCACCAAGGAAGACTTTGCAAAGAAAGGCAATGGCAAACCAGCACCTCTGCTAAGCTGAGTTGGTGTGAGCTAGCTCACAGTTTTTTAGCCTCTGGCTCACACATCTTTGTCTTAGCTCAGGAAGGATGGCTCCAGAGTGAACTAATTTATGTAGCAGCCAAATTGCTTGCTCACAAAGTAAAATTTTTGCTCTCAAGACTCCACAGCTTAGAGGGAGCATTGGTTCTGATATTCCAAGTAACTTTAGCAAAACTAATGTAGATGGATTTTCACTTTTCAGGGTGAGCCAGGATCCCCAGGAATACCAGGAGCTGATGGGGAGCAGGTACTTGAACTTCTTTTTCTTCCTTTTTCTCTTCCTCCTGCAGACCAGAGAAACGATATAAAAAACCCTGAAATAAAATGCACCCGTGATGGACAGCAAGCAATTGCAGGCTTTTAGGCAATGCTGGTGGGAAAAGGGTGAGCTAGCTGAAAAATGATTGACAGCTCATGGAGCTCATTCTGATTGCGTGAAGGCAGCTTACTGCGGAATGGAACACTGAGCTGTTTAAACAATTCAAGTGGGAAGGAGTTGGTGGATCAGTTGAAGTGGAGCTAGGGAGGAGAGTTAACTGAAAACTCCTAGTGAGAGTCTCTGAAGAGAACAAGGGTCTGATAAGCCCTGTCTGGAGCAGAGCATGTATGTTGTGGCCTCTGCAAATAACAGACTTAGGGTGGAGACAGTGAGTCTGGCAAAGTAGTGTCAGAACCTCACCTATTCAAGGAGTAGGGAGAAATCTCCTTGTATGAAAAACTTGAGTATGACTCCTTGTATGACTACTTGAGTGGAGAATTAGACATTCACAGGCTGCGGTCACATGGAGCATTTGCCGCGCTGACGATACAGATGGTAGGCGGATTTTCCAAGCGCGATCACACCACAACATCTGGGAAGCGTAGCGCTCCCGTGGCTAACCCGAGGCTTCCCGCCAAAGATGCGGAGTAAAAAACTAGTACCTCCGAGGTACTAGTTTCCGGAAGCCACGGGGCAAGGGCGGGCGTCTGATCGCGTTTCCGGTGGACTTATGTGGCATCCGGCGCCCACTGCTGTTCATCGCACACAAGGGGTTTTTTTGTCTCCCAAGTCTCCGCAGGTTGCGCACTAGTGCCCAACAGCGCATGCGCACAAAGAGCGATTGCTAGTGCGATCGTGCGGCGCAGCTTCTGTGCCGTGCTGAAGGATACCTGTCTGGTCGGCATCTCCCCCTAACCATGGGACCTCGACCGGGACGTGCATTAGTTTCCTCTGGGGCAAGTAGCCACGCCTCCCCCCCGCGATATACAGCCCGTGTGACCGGGGCCTCAGTATGGAAGCTGATTAACCAGTTTACAGAGATTGTTCTTCTGGGAGATAGGGATTTAACCAAAAGGTTTGAGGAGGCACAGAGGTCCCTCAAGCAAGTCAAATAGGTTTTTGCTCTTAAGGAGAAAAGAATAAAAATCTGGCCAGAGGAAGAGGGGGCAGATAGGAAAACCTCTGGTCTATAAACATAGGGTTATAGCATAATAAAATCTCCAGTCTGTGTGACCATCCAGCAACAAGTTCAAAAGAAGGTATAAGGGACTCTAGTAAACTCTGTACCACAGTAAAAGCAGTGAAACATCTCTAACAGCATCAGGCCAAAATAAACCAGGGAAAATAACTCACTAAACATCTCTAGTGTTGTATAAAAGCAGTTTTGGCTATATGTATTTGAATCTTTCTTTACCAAACCTACCCAAAGTTCACTTGTAAATATAATTTTCCAACCTCTGCCTATTTATTCCAATACATTTGATTTGTGTTTCAACTTTCACAGTCCTTAGGGAGAGGAAGAATTTTAGCAGTACAGACCCTCCTCAATCACAGTTCCTTATTTGGGGTGTAAGCTGACAAAGTATCAAAAAGTAATAAGGTGAAACAACAACATGATAATAAAAGTTTATTTACCACATAAGAAGAGTGACATGCTACCTAAAGGCTACCCAGTTATCAAATGGGGATCTGAAAATTCATATGGGAAGTGAAGGAAAAGGCTGAGACCTTATAAGGGCGATTGTTTGGTGCCCATCTGGTACAGCACCAAAATGATGATGAGGAGGAGGAGGATGAGGATGAGGAGGATGAGGAGGATGATAGAAAATGTTTTGCTGTGGAGCAAAATCCTTTATCATAGGAAATGAAATTTGAGCACAACCAGAGATATTTGTTGATAACAGTAATAAATAACTCAAAGATGTTGCTGAATTTACTGTGTGATTCTGCTGCAGAGTTAATGTTTATTGAATGTAGGATTCATTTGCATGTTGTTCATGTGTTATTTCAGGGGCCTAAAGGTTCAAAAGGGGATACAGGTGACCCTGGAATACCAGGAGAAAAAGGAGGGATTGGACTTCCAGGACTGCCAGTAAGTTTGTTTGTGGGTTTTTTTAAGCATTTGGTAGCAAGTTGTGGTGTTCTTAATTATCATTTCAACACACATTTATTCTTGCCAGTTTTAGGAGCATGCGTGGTGCTTTATGGAAAGAATAATGTAACAAACCAAGTTCCCACCCCAAATAGCTTACATTTAAAAAACAAACAGGTGGACCATGGGCCAACAAAGGATAGGATTGTAAGGAAAGGGGAAGGATATGCCCAAATACAGTTGCTCAGTCTTAGCCTTTTAAAAAAATTATTTTTAATTATTTTCTTTAAGAAAAGGTGGGTTACAGAAGGGAAGGGGGGTTTGTCAGATATTATGAGTTGTTACATACAACAAGAAAAATCAGATGTATCACCAAATATATTACATATTTCAAATATAAAAGCAGACAATAAAACATTGATATTAAAGGAGATAAGGAAAAAAGAGTTGCCCTAAACTTCATTGGTAGGTTTTAAGGAAGGAAGAAAACAGGGACACCAGGGAGGTAACCTGGGATAAAATTCCAGCCCTAGGGAACAATAAGGAACTTCCAGTTTAGTATTAATGGAACATGATTTTTTTTAATGTTCCAAAATTGAGTAGAATTAATGTCCACTGGAATTGTCATGACAGCTCATGCTGCTTTTTAAAGATTTAAGCTATGATCAAGAAATTAATATCATAATATGAGTATTTTTTTTAATTCCAAGGAATTTAATTCCAATCATATAGGGAAATGCCCAGGTTGAGTTTCCCATGACTGCTCAACAGTATGTTCTCCGTAAGTGATTATTTTACTGAGAACAAATTTATTTAGGATTCAGTCACACTCACATTTGTGCATGGGACCAAATTGATATCACAAAAAGTGGGATTGCCTACAAAATAGTTTAAGTGATTATGTAAACACAGTCTTAAATCATTATACTTGAAACACAAGGGAAAATTTTCCCTAAATTTTTATGCAGATTAAACTTTCTATTTTATTGTACTGTATTTGCATCCTGTATAATTATCTGCTGTTCTTTTGATCTAGCAGTGCTGTTCTGTGTAGTATGAAAGCATTACATCAATTAAAAAAAACTTCTGTTGGAGCAGGCCCTATGGGATACCATTACACATGGGAAACAACAGCCAGTGTACATGGTAGCCTTATGAGCACTGAACTCACAAGGCAGATTAGCTGAACAGTTTCTGTGTGCATGAGATGTTTAGTGTGGAAAAAAGTACAATTTCAATTCAGAAAACCAGTCTTTCTTTATAGACTGGCTGGATTGAGCTCAGTGTTTGTATTGATGACAAAAATAGAAAAATTGTGGAAAAAATGATCCTGAAAACACTTCCACATAAAGTATTTCTAACCATTTTATATATAAGTTGCCACTGTACAGGCATAATGTACAATAAGCCACTACAAATACATACTGTAAATGCATTAAGGTCTCTTGAGTTATGATATGAAGCAAAATAAATAATGGGTTGAATCCAAAGAACTGAGAACAGTCTCACTCATGAAATAGATCTTTCCACCTCCATCTGTCTTCTGCAGTCCCTTATACCATCCAAACAGTTGCTCCTCGATGTTGGGAGACCCTCTCGGAACATCATGGGATATAATGTGTCTGAAGCAGGAAGTGCTTTCTGTCCATCAGATAGCATCTGTTAATGAAAATAATGTCATAAAAACTCAGCTTTCAATTAAAAATGCACAAGTTGACAGGACGAAAGTTTTGTTTAATAATTCATTAATGATTTTGTAGGGATCCAATGGCATGAAAGGAGACAAAGGAGATGTTGGCTTGCCAGGTCCCCAAGGTCCTTCTGTAAGTCTTGTTGTTCTGTTTAAGTGCTTGTTTTGATATATATACTGTTGGTTCTACAATCCTCTGTCCCATCCTTCATAAACCAATAGGGAGATCCATTCAAAGATAATTAGGGTGCTACAAAGCAATGATGCATCATGACTGATAAGAACCTCAATTTTTCAAGTGCTGGCAGTATTTATCCCGTGAATATGATAGCAGCTAAACTCCCATGCATTTACTTCCATCACTTTAAGCAGGAATACCCAGTTTTGATCAATATACCTGTAAATATTGTAACTATTATAGGGGTAATGTCCAGTTGTTATTTATAAAATGCTCCAATTTATGAGAGATATTTTTATCATTTTAAAATAATTGGATCTTTTCAAATGAAGTTTTCCAAGATAGGTATAACAATTCAGTAAGGGTACCTGTGTCAACATGAATTAATTATATTATTTTGATGTATAGATTATAGGACCGCCAGGACCTCCTGGCCCGCATGGTCCACCGGGGCCTATGGTAAGCCCATTTTTATCTACCAGTACTGCATCAATTCATGAATTAAAGTGGAGTATCAGGGAGGGCTACGATTCTAAGCTGGTCTTCCCTTGTAAAGCTTGCACGGACATTTCCTTAGTTGAATGTAAGCCAGGACAGGAAGAAGAAATCTTCTTATGGTCTGTGGATAGAAGATCCACTCATTCATTCATTTATATCCCAGTTTTATCCCTATTGTGGAACCAAAGTGACCTACAATACCTTAAAAATACAAGAGAAACAAGCAGGGAAGTGGGAGGAAGGCCTCTGAGTGACAAGCAGATATTCCTTCTCTCTAGGCTACAACCTTCCAGCTAAGAGGCAAAGGTCAAGAGCCCAGGCTTTAGTACCTGTGAGCAGAGCAGAGCAGAGCAGAGGAAAAGATAGGCATTCACCTCCCCAAGACTATGTGGCCCTAGTTAGGAGTTATAATGTATGTAAACCGCTCAGAGACCCTTCGGGGTTAGAGTGCTATAGAAACTGAAAGTTAAATAAAAAATAAAAAAATAAAAAACACATTCAACACAATGCTAGTAGACTGCTGCTAGCCAGCTAGCTAGCAGGATCTTCCCCAGTTACTACCCTGACAGGTATTTTGATGGACTATTGAGTAGAGGGAATTAGTAATGGCACCAAATGGATCTCTGATGGGGAGAAATACTCTTAGGTATGCAAACAGGAAGAACCCCTCCCAAATGTAAGATGGTTGCCCCTTAAAATAATGATTATGAACAAAATATATTATTACTGTTAGGGTTGGCAGCCTCCAGGTGGTAGATGGATACCAAGTGATCTCCATCTACCACGTGGAGGTTGGCAACCCTAACAGCAGGGCTATTTTTGGGCAGGAACACACAGGAACGGAGTTCCAGCTGGCTCCCAAGTTGGCCACGCCCAGCAGCAGAAACTCATTAGGCTTGGCTACATTAGGGGTGTGTGGCCTAACATGCAAAGGAGTTCCTGCTACAAAAAAGCCCTGGGTTTTGACGAGCAAATATTTTAAACCTCAACTCCAAGGGTTCTAATGCCACCTTGTAACTGTGAACTCTTTATTTTCAGGGACCTCATGGACTACCAGGCCCAAAGGTAAAAAAACAAAAAATCCACAGACATAAAACTGAGGCAACAATAAACTTCAGTCTGTTAATGTGTTATGCTGTCATTCTCATTAATCATGTTGAAGCATGCACTCATAGTTTGTCCTTTGTCTCACTTTTCTGTTAAATATGTTTTGATATTCTTAAACCTCTAAGCAGCTGCTTAAAATAAAACGTTAAAGCATATTTTTAAATGTAAGGATTTATGGCAATTTCCTGTGTCTGTTCCACATCACCATAAGCTGAATTAGCTTTCTCTAATGTTAATTATGGAGCGCCAATAAAAACATCCAGTATTCTGGTGAGACTTGCAAGCTATGCCATTTGGAACTATCTTCCACTTAAGCTTAGAAAAACAGGGGATGAGTGTGCTATGCACTTAAGAAGTAAAGTAAAATTATTTCCAGGTATTACTTTCTTCTTGCCTTTATCTTTGAGTTCTAATTCTCCGTTCTCAAACTCCCTGCTTTTCCTAACTTTGTAATGGCAGTTCTTTCTCGTTCTTTCTGCTCATGTCTTGTCTCTGAAGGGTCTGTGCCAAACAAGAATCCATAGCTACTGTTGGAAGACTTATTCCAAATGTATGGGTATATGTAAATGTACTCACACAGAGATCCACATTGTGTGGTTTAGAGAGGGGATAATTGAAAGGATGTGAGATAATTCAATATACAGTAGTATAATTTAATACCATCCTTATCACATTTAACTTTTCATAGCCTTTTATGAGAGCACATATCTGTTTATTTCCTGCAAAAAAGGAAGAAAATGAGCTGCAACAACCTAGCAGTTCAGAATCACATTTGCTTTTTGAAGCTATGTCTATTCGCATCAGCAGAGTCCTATCCAACCTAAAGCTGGACACACACACACCCCGAAAATTCTCCCAGTCCTGCTCCTAAATTCTCAGGGCTGTTGGTTTGCTAGGTGAAAAATTGGGTGGATCATTGGAATGAAAGCAAAATACTGTGTGAAGAAGTTAGCTTTTCAGCGCCTGAGTGGCATAGGATATATCAGTAGTCCTCACTCTGCAGGTTACATAGAGTGACATGCACAATAACCATCAATCAAAAGAGCTGCATTTACTTCCATTCCTGGAAGCATGAGGCTGCTCTTCAGGGAGGCTCACATCTTTTCCTGGCAGCAGCTGTTTTGTGGTGGGAGCTGGGAGTCAACAGCCAGCCACAGACTCCACTGGACAGGAGTCACGCTGGACTCCTTGACTTTCCTGCAATCTTTCCCGAACCTGCTCTATTGTGATGTTTTGGGAAGATAGTAGCAAAGCCAGGGTGCCACTCATGGACCAAAACCCCCAGATCGTCCCTGTCATACCCCCATTGGTGCTATTGTCCCTGCCCCAGTGTCCTGTGGTGGCCATTCCCACCCTGCCCATGACCACCACCAGAGGGCTGTTTTGAGAAATCACCAATGAAATATTGTAATGCTATAGCATTCTGTGTAATGCTATAACAGCCTGTCTATCAGGTTCTCTGAATTCTTAGCTTTCATTTTAAAAACATAAGTCTCTAGCCCCTTTCATTGCAAAGATATGCCTTTTCCCTTATATCTCTTCAATGAAAGGGGCTGTGGACTTAATTAAAAATAAGAAAGCTGAGAATTCAGAGAACCTGTTAGATTGGTATAACACTATAAACTATAATAATTTGGCAATCACCATTACATTTACTTTAAAAAAAAAAACTGGTAGAGGGCAGGGGATTTCTATTGCCAGAGAACAGAGGCAAAGGGGAATGCTGGGAAGCCTACCATGTGGGAGCCCTGTTGCTGCTGTGCTGAATCTGCAACAGCAAAAGGGAAACCCATCTCTCTGTGGATAGCACTCATGACATTTAAATAAGCTTGGGATTGGTTTTGGTTTGTAATGTAGAGATTGCTCTCAAGGCACACAAAAACAGAGTAGTAATTGAGCGACTCCCCTCAGGACTTGCTTGGGAGAAGCTGCCGTTGTGTTGGAAACAGGGTATGCTCTCCATTAATAGTGTAATGACCTTTCTTGGAGACCATTCCATCATGGGTTTTTAAAATGCGTGTCTTCATGCATCACACTCCTCCTCTGAAGTCATGTTTAATTAAGCATGCTTAAAGGTTTAGAATATCGTTACATGAATTATTGCTGCACATTCCAGTTCACCAGAAGGAAAAGGCCACTTTCAAGAATTATAATGGCTCACAAAGCAGTTCCCCCTGCAATTTTGATTAGTCCAATGAGCCTTCTCATTTCTGATATGTTTCGTTTTAGTTGAAAACTTGCCCTTACAACTGGTCTTTGAATCAAGTCTAAACAAGTAAAAAAGGCAATTGTAAGTTACTGTCTTGTTAAGAAATGTTTCAAATGGTTATGCCTAGTTCTGTGTCATCTATTTTAATATGGCTCATGATAAAACTGAAAAAGGAAACTATCTTCCAAGGAACAGAATCAATTGTGTTAAAGAACTGGAGTTTGCATCCATGTCTGTCACCAGCTTCCTTCTGTCCCAGCTTCAATAACCATGTCAGCATCCCCCCAAAATAGCATTTATACTTTTACATCTAGGGTGAACCAGGGTTAAATGGTCTTAAAGGATTGAAGGGTGAACCAGGTCACAAGGGTGACAGAGGGCCCCTTGGTCTTCCAGTAAGTAAAATACCTATTCAATTTCAGTGAAAACTGCAAACTTCTCTTTCTATTTTCAACCATAAACTCTGGTTTACTCACTAGCAAATATAAATCTATCTCATGTTGCAGAAGAACATCCGTCTTGTTTTGTTTTTATCCAGAGTCTGTTTTTATGTCGTTCCATAATGCCCCGTGCCGTCAATTTAATTTTCCCCCATTTTTGTCATTTGTCAGTTCACAGTGTCAACCATGTTGCAGCACCATGTTCCCCTACATTAATAATGTTATTTGAATGCTGTATGACATTTTATTTTACTATTGGGGTTTTTTTTAATCTCTGTTCTCAATGGATTGGTTCCTATGCTCTTTTTCTGTGAGTTCATTGAGTGCTACGCATTGCCTGCTCGTGTAAAATGTTAGCATCTGGCGTTAATAGAAAGTGCCCAGCACCAAGGGGACCCACTCCATAATGGAGGACTGTACTGTACAAGTGAAACAAAAATCATAACATGCAACCCAATATTTTTGTTAGGGTTTGGTTGCTGCTTTTATAATAAAGGGTTGAAACATTTCTGAATAAAGGCCTAGAAAAATGCTGTGTTCTTCATTCTGGTCTTCTTCATTCAGTTCTTCAAACTGGAGAGCCAGTTTGGTGTAGTGGTTAAGTGTGCTGACTCTAATCTGGGAGAACCAGGTTTGATTCCCCACTCCTCCACTTGCATCTGCTGATGTGACCTTGGGTCAGTCATAAGCTCTTGCACAGCTCTTCCTGAAAGAGCAGTTTGTGTCAGAGTTCTCTCAGCCCCACCCACCTCACAGGGTGTCTGTTGTGGGGAGGGGAAGGGAAAGGAGTTTGTAAGCCGCTCTGAGACTCCAAGTGAAGGGCGGGGTATAAATCCAATCTCTTCTTCTTCTTTTTCATTTATTCTTGGCTTCAAATTTCTTCAGGCTTGGCTATTCCAGAGTAGTTCTTGTAATTCTTATAATAAGTTTATCTTCACTAAAAACTTGTTAAAATAATATTTTCATGTGGCATTTCTTGTTCTAAGGGGTTCATGATTCTTTAATACAAATCAGACATGTTGTCTACTCTTTGAGTGAAGATTTCACAGCATGAAATAGAAGATGGTCAAAAACAGATTCAGTAACAGATTTATTTCATATGTTCAGAAGGGGCAAGATAGAGGTGAAGTTGTAGAAGGAATCTTTGCTTCTTCCCCCCTTTTCACTGAAGCTGCATGTGTCCCCCCCCATAGCCGCTACTGATGGGAAGGACACCCCCTCCCCTGGGAACAGCATAACATATGCGGGTTGCAGCAAGAATGATCAGAACTGTAAGTTCATGCAACAGTGAGACCCGGTGATTTCTCACAATTCCCACCAAAGCCCCCCCCATATCTCACACACTGTTCCTAAGCATCTTCCAACTGTCAGAAATGGCTTTGTGAGGGATTCAAACAGCTGCAATGGGAACATGAAGGCAGCAAAGTTCCTTCCATGAACTTACCCCTTTATGGAAAGATGGGTTCCAAAATAATCATTTATTAAGTCATATTGCTTTTAATTGGGAGGGATAATTCAGCATGTTCAATTAGTGAAAAGTTCCTGACTTTCTTGGGATTGTACCAGTATTTCTTAAGACATTCAAAGTACTTAGTGCCCATAGATGTTGGTTCTTCTCAGTGAATTCTCCTAGATTCTCTAGTTCAGACAAGGCCTATGTGGGTGATGGGCTGGCATTCCATTCATGCAGAGGGGGAAGCCCACTAGCCAAGCATTTCAGGAATGCAATTTATACAACCATGTATCGTGTGTAGAGGGCAGTGCATGGATTTTTTTCATGTGGGAAGCTATACCTGCATGGAAAATTGATGTGTTACCCTCTTCACGGTACATGATCATGTGAATCAGGTGCATAACGGGGACTCATACACTCTTGATACATGCAGCTGATCGGCCCCCACTTTGTGTGTGAAAAGAATGCCAGTGTATCATCTGCAAAGGGCAACTCTAATAATATTTTTAAAAATTGTGTGTGGCACTGAGCTCATTTTATTCTCATAATATCCAGCAGGGGTCATCTGTTTCTCCACCAGTGTCAAGAAATGTAACTAACGGTTTTCTGGTTTCTTTGTAAGGCCACTCTTATAGGAGCCTTATCACAGTTCTTATTCATTAAGTACAACTAAAACTTCAGTGTAAACTGTATAGTTCCTTTTATTTTATTATCCAAACTACATGTGATTTTTTTGTACTAACTTATAAATAAGGATGTGTGTATTAAAGTTTAGTCAACACCATGGTAATCTGTCAGACTAATACATCTAGAGACTCATTCTGATCTCCTGAAATGAAGCAGATTTCCCCTGAAGCCAGCAGGGCTTGGTTATTACAGATCTGAAACAATAGGAATCAGAATCAGACTCTTCATGTTATATGTGAAGTGACAACTAACCTAATGGAGTACTGTGATACTTATTCCAGATCCCTGTAACTCCTTGTATTCTGTGTTTAAACAGAAATTATACTTGTTCATCACCACCCACTTACTAATCTTGCATTCTTGTCATTCGTGTTGTCCTCATCGTCAATGCTTTCACTTAACCACACAGGGAGCATCTGGCTTAGACGGAAAGCCAGGACCCCGGGTGAGTCCCTTGTATTCCTATGTCATGCTTTGCTACCAACAGGCAGGTAGCATTTTCTTCTTCTTTTGTTGTGGTGGTACTTTTAGTACTGCTGAATTACACTAGGCAAATTACATGATTCTCCCATTTGAAGGATGAACCCTGGCTGATAAAGATCAAGAAACTTTAGAGACAGATAGCACTTAGATCATGTTGCCTCTTTCCAGCGTGAAACTTTGCAACTAACATTATTTTAAAGCTGCATTAGAAAGGCTTTCTGCATTTGGATATTGCATGCAATAAAAAGACTCAATTCCTAACAAATAACTCATGAACAACCAGGCTACAGTGAACACTGAAATCATGAGATTAAAAACTTAGACACTGCCCTTACCCTTCTCTGTCTCACCATACACTTCATTATAAAATAAATCTTCCAAATATCAAAGCTGCTGTTTGATTTGGGTATGCGGTACAGCTGTGTTTCCATTTTTGCTGCTTTAGCTTTAGCTTTTCCTCTGGCTTTTGCAAGAAGAACATAGCCCTACAATGCTCAGAACAAATGGCCTGGGTTACTCTAACAGTGCAATCGTATGCAGAATCACTACAATCAAAGCCTACAGCAATTAACTGTAAATTAATGAGAATGATGGTGGAAAGTAGAGGTGGTTTACCAGTGCCTGCCTCCATGTAGCAACCATGGCCTTCCTTATTGGATTCTCATCCAAGTCCTAACCAGGGCCAGCACTGCTTAGTTTCTGAGATCCCACAAGTTTGGGCTAGCCTGGGCTATCCAGGTCAGGGATATAAGAAGACTAGTTCTGTGATACTATGGCACCATCTTGTAATTTGAAACAAATGCTCAATCTTTATAACAATGGGGGAAGGAATGGCATAGCTGAGAATTTAAAGCTCTCCTTTCTTAAGCCTGCAATTTCTTCTTGTAGCTCTTCATGTGAATGCTGCATGATTTTTTGTTTAAGTCCCTTTGTTTTAACCCTTTAACTCCTAGATGAATCCGCCTGTCCCATTTAAATCATCTATGTAAATCAGCTAATATCAAGTAACAAAGCATAGGTAAATGAGGGTGGGGGGGAAGAATGGCACCAAGCCAGGATGGCCTGATCAGACCATCTCGATGGCTTGAGAGAGTGCTTGAGCGATCAGACAGAGGAAAGTCTGTCCGTGGCTGTCAGAACTTGTTTACTACTGGACTTTCCCCGCTGTGTTTTAACTCGATGGCTTGAGAGAGTGCTTGAGCGATCTGACAGAGGAAAGTCTGTCCGTGGCCGTCAGAACTTGTTTACTACTGGACTTTCCCCGTGTTTTAACTCCGCTTCTGCAGCGGAGCAGCACAGGTTGCCGACGACTGTGGGATGCTTCCCAGATGTTGCTGTCTGATCACTCCCTTTACATCTGTCAGACATTCACATCTATGTCAGATCTAAAGGTGCATGTGATCGCAGCCTTACTTTTAACTTTGCCAGAGGGATTTGGAGCTCAGTTGCCTTGCCACTCTGCCTAAAATCTAACTGCTGCCTAAAATCCAACCACTGGGTTGAGACCTGATTCTAATGGGAGTTCTTTGCTTAGTATAAAACTTCTCAGAGGAATTTTCAGAGTTGTTTTATCCATTCTTGTTTATTTAATGTTTCAGGGTGCAGATGGCCCAGTTGGTCCACATGGTCTTGCAGGTCCAAAAGGAGACAGAGTGAGTGAGATCACCTTGAATACATTAATACCAGGCCTGTCATCAAATTCAAGAAATCCTGTTTGATAAACTATTTGTTAGTTAAATTTGGTGAATTTTACTTAATTTTAGTTAAATTTGATTACATTTGCATATGCGTAAAAATAGTTCAATAGCATTGTCCTTGAAAAGTCATTGGCTCCCACACAAGACAGAATTCCGCTTTTAAGATAGTGCTTTCCATCTATTGTTTTTATATACTACTGTTAAAAATTATCTTTTCATCTGTTCTCTGATTAATCACGGAACCCATTTCAATTGATTAAATTGTTTCTAATCAGTCTAACCAATTGAGAGTGTGTGGCTCCATGGTAGAGCATCTGTTTGGCATGCAGAAGGTCCCAGGTTCACTTCCCAGCATCTTCAGTTAAAACAATCAGGGAGTAGGTGATATGAAAGACCTCTGCTTGAAACCCTGTACAGCTGCTGGTGGTCTGTGTAGACAGTACTGACTTTGATTGCCCAAGGGTCTGATTCAGTATAAGTCAATTAAATGTGATCAACTAAATTTTTAGCTGTATGTGTGAAAAAAATTCATTTCTCCCTAACTTGTTTATTTTAAGTTGTTTAATAGGATTAACTTTTTAGATCAGAAATATAAATAAAGGAAATTCATCACAATGTATTTGTAGAGGGGGGAAACACACAGAAAAAAATGAGGCAGCCCAGTCATAAAAAGCTTTCATTTCAATTGCAATACGATTTTAATGCATTTTCTGCCCCACTGGTCTTCATGTTCATTGTTTCTGGCCTCAGGTCCATGGAGATAAGGCAGGAAAGAAAAATGTTTTAAATAAATGTGTAACTTATCTTTAAGCAAAAGGTCTAACAGAAAAATGATAGACTGAAATGAAACATTGTCCAAAAACAGTTTTCAGGAATTTAGAT